GGCCCCCGCGCGCGCTAGGCAATTTAGCCGCGGTCGTAGCCCGCCCGCGACCTCCCGCCGCTGGCGCTTCCGCCTGCGGCTGGGGGGGAAAAAAAAAGCAGCTCCGCTGGAATCCGCGGCAATCTCGCGCCAATTATCTACGTACCGCGCCCCGGACGTTGTGCACGCTCCCTGTCTCTCGCATTGGAAGCCGCGAACCAAAAAGGTACCCCCACCAGCGCGAGCGCTTGCTTTTCCCTGGCTTCTGGTTCTCTGTCCGCTGGCCCTCTGGGATTCTGGTCCGCCGGCTCTCTCGGGGGTGGTGCAGCCTTCTCGGTCGACCTGGCGCGCCCCCCGTTGGTCTCAGCCCAGCCCTCTGGCGCCCGTGGCCACAAGGTCCAATTCACTTACCTGTGGGAACACACACACACCAGAGTGTGTGTGTTTTTGTTTGTTTTTTCCCCACAGACTCTGTGTGTGTGTTTTGTGTGTTGTTTGTGTGCTTTGTTGTGTTTGTTTGTTTTTTGTATTATTGTGTGTGTGTGTTTTTGATTCAGCTCCCATGGTACCCGCACGTCTGCAGCTTCCTGGCAGCCCCAGCAGCTTGCGGTTCCCTCCCTCGGCGCTGGTTCCCAGCCTCGGCGGTTGCAGCACAGCCCCGGCGCAGCTGCTTCCCACGGCGGCAGGTCCTGCATAGCTCCGCGCGCGCGCCGGCGATTAGGTTCGCTCGTAGCCTGAGCCGACTCTGCCTGCTGCAGGCGCCTTCGCCTGTGGCCGCGACGAAAAAAATCTCCAGCTCAGTCAGAAACCCTGCCCTTCAGAGCTGACGGGAAAAGGGACGAAGAGACACGTTTAGGGAAACAAAGCGAGCAAGGGGGGGGCCTTGGAGGGCCTCTTCGGGCCATCTCTGGGTGCCGCGTGGGGGCGAGGGGAAGAGAAGGAGGAGGAGGAGGAGGAGGAGGAGGAGGAGGAGGAGGAGGAGGAGGAGGAGGAGGAGGAGGACGAGGAGGAACATGAGGACGAGGAGGACGAGGAGGACGCGGATGAGGACGAGGACGAGGAGGACGATGAGGACGAGGACTAGGATGAGGACGACGCGGACGAGGACTCATGGAACTATCTAGAGGTATTATTGCGGCTGCTGCTGCTGCTGCTGCTGCTGCTGGTGCTCTATGGGAGTTTTGGGGGCCCTCTTGGAACCCTCTTGGCAACCCTGGAAGGCTTCTTGGGATTATCAGGGAGGCCATCGATTACACGATGGGGGGGGTCCCAACTCAGCTCCTCCCTCAGGAGCCGGCAAACCGCTTATTGTGGATGTCTTGGAGCGCTCTTGGGCGCTGTTGGAGCGGTCTTGGGGCCGTTTGGAGCATCTTGGGGGCCATCTTGAGCCAGCTTGGACTATATAAGCCATCTTGGAGGTCATCTTGGGCTCTCTGAGGCCTCTTGGGGGCCTCTCGGGGGCCTCTTGGGGCCCTCTTGGGAACATCTTGGAGCCCTCTTGGGGCTCTCTTGGGGCTCTCTTGGGATGGAGCGCCTCTTGGGGCCATCTTCGAGGCTATCGATCAAAGGAGGGAGGGTCCCGATCGACGCTTCCCCTCGGGGGCCACGATCCTCTTGACGGGTGTCAAAATTGGCCCTCCAAGGGGCCTATCTCGGACGCTCCAACGGATCGCGGCCCCTCCCGTCCAGGTCCAGGGGAGGGGGGAGGCGGAGGGGTAATCCCCTCCCCGAAGGGGAAAAAGTGTTTTTGGAAGAGGAAAGAAAGACATCGTTAGACCACTGCGCCCTGAGGGCTGGTAGGTTTCCCCAAACAGTTCAGGGGGGTTAACGATCCGGGCGAAGTGGGCCCCGCCCAGTTGGCGGAGTCATCTGACCCCCCCCGAGCCCCTCGGGGAACTTGCATCCCGCTTCTGAGCCAGGTTGGGCCAGATATAGCCCAACTTAGCATCCACTCGTCACCCCCCTTGACTATCCACTCAGCACCCCCCGCGGCGATCCTGGCAAGGAGCACGGGAAGGCAGCGCATCCGAGAAGCTCCCGTGCGGCAGGCTCGCGCCGCGGCGATCTGCGGCGGCCCTGCCGGCTTGCGCTCCGCGTTTGCGCTCGGGAGCCTTGAGAGACGGGGGTCCGTGCGAACGGGCGTCAGCCAGAGCGCCCGAGCTTGCAGGATATCCTGCAGGGCCAGGGTCGCACTGACCCGGGCTCGGGTGCAGGATCCTGCAGGATCTTGAGGGGTCCATCGTGTCGACGCTTTTTTGGGTGCAGGACCTTGCAGGACCCTGCAGGATCCTGCAGGGCCTGACTGACCAGGGTCTGGATTGACCCGGATCAGAAGATCCCCGATGAACACCGCCGGCGACCAAGAATCGGTCGATGTTGAACGATTTGACGTTTCGGAAAGGGCCGAGCGTTCAAGGTGGAACGATCCCCACGGTGTCGGAAACCAGCGGCGAAGTCGGCACGACACGAACTTGCCGTGCAGGGGTCACTCGCTCCTGAGCTGAAGGTTTGGGGGTCGGAAGTATCTAAAGAGCGCGCGGTGTGTCTAGGTGGCCACGTGCGAACCCTACCCCTCCACCCCACGATTTGCTAACGGGGATGGTGGGGTGTTCCCTTCGCTCGGGAGACCTCCAGCGAAGTGAACCCCACCTCCCCCCCTTAGAAATCGTGGGGTGCACTGACTTTGGTTTGGGTGCAGGACCCTGCAGGAGCTTGCAGGATCTTGCAGGATCCTGCAAGGCCTGACTGACCCGGGTCTGGAGTGGGTCAGTAGATCCCCGAGAATATTCTATATTCTTGAGCTCCTCGATCATGTCTCGTCGACGTCACGCCACCAGCGGCAGTTGCGCCCTCACCCCTTCCAGACCTGAAGCCGTCACGAGCGCCAGCCGTTCCCGTGTATTGTCCTGTGTTCGGGCGTCGTCTCCTCCCCCAAAAAGAATTTCCACGGCGGAAACACAGGCCTTGGGGATAGCGGATTCACGAACAATGACATAAACACAATACTTCCGAGGTCCGTGCGGATTTCCTGCACACTCGTGCGAAGTGGGGCCGAATGGAGCGCAAAACGCCACAGCTGAAACACAACGCTTCGGTGGATCTGGTAGGCCAGTCGGTCGGGGCCAGGACTAGGATGACACAGTTGCACAGCAATCTGGAGCGCTCTCAGAGTGTCCCAGAGCGCTCTGGAACGGCCGCGGCGTCTGACACATCCTCCCTAACCTTTGTGGGCCCTGGACACGGCAGGGCCGCTTTTTCACCGTTTCCAAAACAATGTCCCTTGAAAATCGCTTCGGCAAAAAAACGGCGACCGGAAACGGCAAAAAAACGGCTCCAGGATTGGAACCGGAGCCGGAACCAGTCAAACAACGGCGACGGAACCGGTAAAACAACGGCGTCGGAACCGGCAGCAAAAACGGCAGAACGGAACCGGTAAAAAAACGGCCCTGTCGTTTCCAGGGCCCACTAAGTCCCTGACCACTGGATTCTAGAGATCCCCGATTTACCCAGGTCCGATGTGGTCCTGGGGCGGGCTCCCTCCTGGCCAGGGAGCGCCGCCCATTGCGTGGGGTCCCAGGGGGAGGCAGGCGTAGAGGATCTCGGTGCAGACAGTTATCCTCTCCCCTGCTTGGCATCGCTCGGACGTGTGCATTTTTCCTTCGGCGAGGACCATCGAGGAGCATCCTCGATCATTTGGCGAAAAAACCACGCACGAAACCGAACAAACACAGGGAATGGACGTCCGAGCGATGGCGAGCCTGTCGCCCCCTCCTCCGTCCCCTCTTCGGGGCCAGGAGTCTGTCCACTATACCGTTTCTTGAGTGTCGTTGCCCACCTCGGGGGCGGAAAAGAGGGGGGTGATGACTAGGGGGGGGTGGATATCATGGCGTCGGCCATGATATTTCCCTAGATTTCATGGCGCTCTTTCTTATTTCATGTCGTCCCTGGCCCCTCCGCTGGGCCGCGCACATGCCGTGGGTCATGATTTGCACCCCCCCCTCTTGGACACCCCCCTCTTGGCCGCTCCCGACCACCACCAAAACCACCACCACCACCACCACCACCACCACCACCACCACCACCACCACCACCACCACCACCACCACCACCTAGTGGCAAATTGGCTGCCCAAACGCAGCGTATATATTTTGTCCAACACCTGTTGCCCGGGAGTGCCGGCCAGAAGCTTCAACACCACGCGCTACACGTTGCTCCTCTGCGAATGCCCATGCGGCAGGGCCCAGATACCTGGAGTGTCCGGTGTTGCTGGAAGTGCCTTTTGCCCAAGGTGCCCCCAGTTGTTCGTTCCGTTATGGAGCCCTTGAGGCCCTCTGGGCCTCGGGGGGGGGGGCCTCGGAGGCCGTCTGGGTCACGCCGAGAATCTTGGGGGCTACCTTGGGCCAGGGGCACTCCTGGCAACAGGGCGCCGCCAGGGGGGCCCAGCGCGGCTCCAGGGAACTCGCGCGGAGCGCCAAGAGCTTGTGCATATGTTTTTTTGTTTTTCTTCTTCTTCTTCTCGTATGGACGCCCGGGTGTTTCTTCTTTCTGCTTTCTATGTATGTGTTTGTTATTATAATGCCTATGTGTATGTTTGTTGTCCTTCTTTATATGTATATGTTTTATTGTTTCCTTTCTATGCATATGTTTGGTGTCTTTTCTTATGCACACATGTGTTTGTTATTTGTTATTAGTAGTGTTATTATTGTTATTATTATTCATATTCATATTCATATTGATATTATTATTGTTATTATTATTATTCATATTATTATTATCATTATTATTCTTATTATTCATATTATTATTATTCATATTATTATTATTAGTATTTATATTATTATTAGTATTATTATTATAATTATTATGATTATTAGTATCATTATTATTATTCTTATGATTATTATTCTTATTTTTCTGCTCGTGCCCCCCGCCGTCCGGGCCGCCGTCGTCCTCCGAGGGCGCCTCGGCGGAGGCGGCGGGCAGGCTTGGGGGGCCCGGCGGCGCGCGGCGGGCCGGGGCAGGTGGCCGCCTTCGAGCGCCGCTGGCACGAGGGCGCGCCCCGCCGCGCCCGCCCGCGTTCGGCTGGACGTGAGAGTTCGGGGGAGAAAAAGATACGGATACGTGTTGTCCCCCTTCGTTTTCGGCCTTTCCTGGTCCTCCTGGGGAATCCTCGTTGTCACCGCTGGATTCGCCTCGAAATTCTGGTCAGAACGCACCCCAAGAGAGGTCCGGGGACAACACGTATCCGTATCTTTCCGCCCCCTAAAGAGTGGCCTTTCGCCGGAGTGACCTCTGGTGCTGGCACAGATTCAGAGCCCCGAGTCATCAGGGGTGGCTCGGGTCAGGGCTAGCTCGGGTTCGTTTTTTTCGGGAGTCCGAGCCCGAGTTGTCCCGGGCCCGAGTTGCCCCAGATGTTTCGGGCGTCCAGAGCCCCGAATCATCAGGGGTAGCTCGGGTTAGGGCTAACTCGGGTTCCTTCTTCGGGAATCCAAGCCCGAGTTACCCCGGACCCGAGTTACCCCGGATAATTCGGGCGTCCAACAGATGGGCCCTCAGATGGCTGAAAACGAAGCAGTGGCAGCGGCTTGCGCGCCCAGGCTTGGTCTCCCCGCGGCCCCCCCTCAAAGCCGCGCACCAGAGGTCACTCTTACCCAGAGGTCACTCTTGCGTGTAGCCGACATGTGCCCGGCTGGACGTCGGCTGCACGTGTGAGAGAGAGAGAGAGAGAGTCGGGCGTGTCCCTCTGGAGTTAAGTCGGGCGTGTCCCCCTACAGGGGGTATTTTCGACGAAAAAAAGAAGTACCCCAAAAATAGTTTAAACAAATCGTCCAAAAATAGTCTGGGGACATTTTTTTAGTATTTGTGGACCTTTTTGGAGTATGTTGGGTGTATTTCTAATTTTTCGTCGAAGATGCCCCTATAGGGGGATAGGCCCGACTTAACTCTAGAGGAGGAGTGCACATTGCTCATCTCTAATTCTTCGAAAGTGCTCTGATTTCCTGGGGGGCCAAGATCCTTTCGTTTCTATTGTTCTATCCTGGGCATTCTTCCTGGCCGCTCGGGGGTCATGGACAATGAGAGACGAGCACCATCTGACGTGAGCTCGATTAGAGATGAGCGACGTGTGCACGGGGTTATTATAGTTTTGACCATACGATGCTCCATTGTTTTCGTTCTCGCTTTGACGCAGTGTGGCCATGGGAATCCTTATCCAAAGCTGTCGCTCTTGCTTAGCTGGCCAGCCATTCCAGAGAGCTCACGAAGGCTCGCGGCTTCGTATCAGGGCAGCTTTGCATCCTAATACGTCGTCCGCGGCACGCTTTAGCAGCTATGCAATTCTCCGCCGATGGTAAAAAACTTTAGCACCGGCAAGTATTCAAGGATAGTTCTAAGATAGTCAGGGGACGATGTATCTACTATTCTTGGTTACGGTTTGAATATATTTTGACAAGTTTGAGTTCTCTTTGGGGATCCGCCTGTAGGAAGACATGCCCGACCGAAACGTAAGAGGGATGCTTCGCCAGGGAGACCTTCCCGATCGCTGCATGCGGTGCGATTGCAGCAGCTTTCGCGCTTGGGTTTGGCTCCCCCCGCGCCCCCCGTAGAGCCGCGCACGGGAGGTCACTCTTGCCTACGGTCACTCTTGCGGGTACGTAGCCGAGGTTGTTCTCCGGCAGTGCCAATCGCTGTCACCACCAGGGATCACCAGCAGGGGTCACCCGGGCCAGGACGATGCCCACTATACTATGCTCTGTGTGTCCACCACGCAGTGGCAACCTGCGGTCCAAAGACGGTGTGCGTGGAGTTGTGTCGACTCCTGTTGCCCGGAGAGCCGCCCGGAATTTCTACTTTCTAAGTTGTCCGGTGGCATTTCTGCGAAGCCCCACGGGACAGGGCCCACATGCCTCGGTGCATCTACGCGCGGTTCCCAGGTCACCACCAGTTGTTTCTTCCCGCGGGCCTTGTTCTATGGCTCTCAGTTGGGAGCGGCACGCGCACTCGAGCGTGCAGTCGTCCGCCTTCCGCTCCTCTGCATCAAGCCGCGGCGCAACATTTGCGCGATTGTATGCGCTGTTCGAAGGTGAAGGAAGGTATCATGTAAGCGGTTCGCGTGCGAGGGGAAAAACTCACCTCCTCCCGGCAATAGCGGATCGACGAGGAGGGGGATGGACGATCGAGGATGTTCTGGGCGGCTCTCTGAAAGGTCCGGAGCGGACAGGAGACGTATGTGCATCCATGAGTTCTCGTTACTGCGAAGGGTCCGAGGCGGGGATATTTGCCCATGGCCACCGCCTGAGGTAGCGACGGGATATATGTGTACACATATTTATGTGTGTATATATTTAAGTCGGGCCTGTCCCCCTACAGGAGGAATATTTAAAAATACTGAAAAAATAGTCTGGGGACGATTCTTGGCCCTTTCGAGACTATGTCGGAATATGTTTTGAAATTTGTTTTCATTTTTCACCCCAGAATCCCCCTGTAGGAGGCCCTGCCCGACTTCAGTGCATAAGAATATGTATACCGCTCCTGGGCCCAGGAGGGGCCAGGCCTGGAGCAGTGGATATGTGTATGATCCAGGGCTGCACCCCCCCCAAAAAAAAAACATTCGTGTGGGATCGGTCCCCCCCCCGTGGGCCTGGCATCGCTCGAAAAAACTACGCACGACACCGAAAAAAACACAGGGAATGGACGTCCGAGCGATGGCGAGTGGGATGGGCACGCCCGTGAGCCTCGCGAGGGCCTCGCGCACGGGACCGTCCCCCCCCCCCAAACAAAAAAAAAAAACATGTGGGATCGAACCCCCCCCCCGTGGGAGGGGCACGCCCGTGCGCCTCGCGAGGGCCTCGCGCATGGGCCCCGTGGTCGTGGCCCTGTGAGCGTCAACGTGGTGGAGGGTGCTGGTGCTCCTCCACCCCCCCTTGCGAAGAGAAGGGTGGCCAATCGTCGTCAGCTTCCGTCGACGCCGTCGTCGTCGCCCTCTGTCGGCGTCGTCGTCGTCGTCGTACGCATCGGAGTCGGAGTCGGCGTCGTCGTCGTCGTCCTACGCATCGGCGTCCGAGTCGGCGTCGGAGTCGGCGTCGGCGTCGGCGTTGGTGGCGTCGGAGTCGTCGGCGTCGGCGTCGGTGTCGTTTTCGTCGTCGTCGGAATTTACGTCGGCGGCGTCGTCGGCGTCGGCGTTGGCGTCGGGTTCATCGTCGTCGTCGTCGCGTTCGTCGTCGTCGTCGTCGTCGTCGTCGTCGTCGTCGTCGTCGTCGTCGTCGTCGACTTCGTCGTCGCTGTCTTCCATCGGCGTCGGCGTCGTCGTCGGCGTCGTCGTCGGCAGGGGCGTTGGCGTCGGTGGCGTCGGCGTCCTTGTCGGTGTCGGCGTCGGTTTCGGCGTCGGCGTCGGCGTCGTCGTCTGCGTCGTCGTCGTCGGCGTTGGCGTCGTCGTCGGTGTCTGCATCGGCGTCGGCGTCTGCGTCGTCGTCGTCGTGGTCGCCGTCGTGGTCGTCGTTGTCCCTCCCCTATTTCATCTGGGGGGGGGCTGTGGAACCCTGGGGCCCATCACCTCTGGGCGGGGGTGGGTGGGCTCTGAACCCTCGGCCCAGATCGTGTGTAGATCTCGGAGCCCTATGGGCTCGACCTTCGGGGGCCTCACCGGGCGGCGGATGTGGATATATATATATATATATATATACCTATACGACCACCCTGCGGGTGATAAGGCGGTTTGGGGGGAGGGGGGCCAGCAAAGGGCAACAGTGGTGATTGTTGCGTTGCCGCTCGCTCTTGAGACCATCGATCCCACTATCGATCTCACTCGATCGATTTCACTGTCGATCTCACTCTGGATTTCGCTATCGATCCCACTATCGATCTCCCCATCGATATCACTCGATCTCACAATCGATATCACTATTCATCTCACTATCGATCTCACTATCGATCTCACGATCGATCTCACAATCGGTCTCACTATCGATCTCACTATCGATCTTACAATCGATTTCGTCATCGGTCCCACTATCGTTTTCGCACCAGCGGGACACCGGGACACCGGCGGGACACGGCGGTCCACCGCTTGCCGGAGGGAGAATCATTTGGTCCGGCCGGGACCCAGCCTCAAGCGGGACACCGGCGGGACACCGCGGGCAACCGCTTGCCGGAGGGAGAATCATTTGGTCCGGCCGCGCCTTAGCCACAGGAGACTTTCCTTTCGCCGGCCCATGCAGCTGCGCCTCGCCCGCACGCACGGCACGCACGAACACGAAACCGAAACCGATTTCCCAGTGGGGGGCTCTCCGTTCCACTTCGATCTCACCCCCCAACCTCCGAGATATATATATATATAATATATATATATATATATCACTGTTCTCAACGTCTGTAGTGCTGTCGCTCATAGGCCTCCCGTGAGTGTTGAATGTTCTGCCAAGCGCCCTTCTCCGTCGTGGGCGCTTCGGCTCAAGTCTTAATTTGCGGCTCGCGCCGCCGTATGAGCAGCTCAGAGAAGGCACACTTCGCGTGGGTGATAGCCCGAGATATCTTCAGTTACTGGAGTCGGCCAGAGCCGACCACTTGCACGTGCCAGTGCCCAGAAGTCACGGTCTATTGTCCCAGCGCAGAGTGCAGCAGTCATTTGGAGGTGATACGTGATTTGTCGTACGAGCAGGTGCGACAGGCAGCTGGAAGCAAGTGCCCAACGTGTGAGGACGTGCCGTGTGTGCCCTTCCCTTGGACGCTCATCCTCGTGCTGATTGCCCTCATCCCGACCGTCGGTTTCGTTGGATTCCTCGTGGGCAGTGCCACCTCGCGGTTCAGACGCTCGGCCGAGGCTACCCCAGAGACCACCTCGACAGGCGGGAAGCGGTCCTTCGGGCCCTTCACGCCCGCCACCCTCGCAGCTCTTGAGCGCTAGCCATGGCGGCTGCAGCAGCCGCCGCCCACCGAGCCCTGGATATACCAGAAAAACAGGTGCTCATCAATTTTGACGACGATGCCAACGGCCTGCGGTGGCATCACCGAATACTTCTTATCAAGGGAGGTGATGGACGTTGGGTGGTGGCGAC